GCGCAGCCCTGTGTTACGTGTGCTGCAGTTCTACACAGCAAAGCCATTCTTCACTGACCGCACCCCAGAGCCAGATCCAACTTTGGAGGCACAAACAGGCGTCTGCTTCAACAGGCGAAATCCACGATCGTCGCTCACTGAAGAGAGCCCACAGAACACCCCTGCACCCAAACACTGCCTCTCCCACTGTCCCCCCCAAACCTTCCCACTCTCCAGCACTATGTTTTAATATACATTCTAGAGGGGGAACAAAAAAAAGACGGTACTTACCGTAGGCGACGGGCGTGAGCTTGAGAATGGTGTGGAGCGGGCAGCGCAGGTAGGGCAGCTCGTCTAGGACGGAGGTGAGCGTTACAGGGGGATCAGGGCAGCCCACAACAGCCACCCCGCTTCTCCCCAGCCTTCGGCGGGACCCTGCACCCAGCAAAAACCGGACGCCGACCGCCCAGTGCCTTGCACCGGGCCGGGTAGTGCTGCAGCCCCCGCCCCTCCGCCAATGGCACCAGGCTGACCCCCCACCCCAGCCCCACCAGCTGCACACCGCTGGGAAAGCACCGCCACCATAGCCACCACGGACCCTAGCCAGTTTTATTTCAAACTTTATTACAGTTTATGAGCTTTTTATTAAACTGCAGTACAACCCACTGCAGTTTAATAACGTAGCTTGCAGCAGACTGGAACCAGCTCCCAGGCCAGCACGCCACGCAAGGCATCAGCGTTTTGCTGAGCTGCAGCACTACTGCCAACCCTTCACGGGCTACCGACGCATCGGAAAACTTGTTCCTTACATTAAAAATATAACCCCACAGAGGCTGTGTAAATGCTGCTGCTGGAAACAGCTCCAGAAACAACGGCTGAGCAGAAAGCCAGCAGTGCACGCATCTGCGCTTCTCGCAAAGAGAGCTTCTTGCTCAGCTCGGCACACTGCTGAAACGCAATGGTTAATGTATTCCAGAAACGTTTCCTTTTTTTCTTTTTTTCTTTTTTTTTTTTAAGCAGCTCTTCCATTGCGAAAAATCAAAACAGTAATTACAAGCCACCCTCCCAAAACGCTCTGTAAGGGAAGCAGGGAGAGAAGCCAGCCCCTAGCATCACGCGTTTATTTTTGTACCTGCGCTCTTGTCAAGAAAATAAGCCAACAGGCACCTCATAACCGCCTGGTGGGAGATAACGAGGACATTGCCTTGCCGTTCTAGCTCCATAATTACCGGCTCCAGGCGCTGGACCAGGTCCTGGTAGGACTGAAAAACAAACCACGAATTTTTCAAGGGGTTTAGTAAACAGAGGCTTAAAGCAGAAGCAGCAATTAACACAGCTTCATACACAGGAAAATGTCAGTTAAAATATCAAAATGTGGAAGTTACAGATAATCTGGTAAATACACAAGCAAACAGAAGTTGAAATTTAACATCAGCAACTCTCAGATTACAGGTGGATTCAGACTACTGGTAACTCTGAATGAGTGCAGTAAGAAAAACAAATTTAAAAAGTAAATTATACCTTTCAAAGTTGTGAAGTAAAACGAGAAATGACTTCATACCACACCCACAATCATTTTACTTCCAAGATGTTTTTAAATCGTGACAGTTCAGGCCTCGGCCAGACACGCGCGATGCAGAAACCCCTCGGTAGCAGAGGGGAGCATCAAGGGACACACAAGTGGCCAATTATTAACACTGAAAGACAACGTTTGCAAACCACAAAAAAGAAAATCAAGAAACTTTTCCTCCAAAAGAGAACTGGGGATCCTAATGTTTTCAGTTTCTCAGACAACTACTGGCAGAAAAAGTTAAGTTCTCCAATTCTACACATACGTATTTGGCTTACATATACTGTATCTTACTGTTACTGCATTTTAAGGGCCTTCACCTCTCCTCCAGGATAGCGATAAAGATATTTCTCTTGATCCCTCAAGGCAAACTCCTCTGGATACTTGGCTTCAATTTCCTCGTAGGTCATTTCTTCACACACCCCCTGAGGGAAGAAGGACTTCTTACACCACGCTTCGCTTCAACAGAGGCACAACAGTGCAAATGCAGCGAGCGGCTGAGATGGGTGATCCCTTCAACTGACAAGAATTCTGGGTGTCATATCTGACACGGCCACACGCTCAGCATTTGTGCACCACACCTCCAGGGTGGATTGGAAAGGACGGGCTTTTGGTTTTATTTCAAACCCCTTGCTTGCCAGGGATGAAAACGAGCGTTCATTTCCACAGCAACAACCCTGCAATTTCCTTTTTCCTGAAAGAATTAGAACGGGAGCAGGAAGCTTTGTCCACCCAGGACAACATGACAAATGCCTGGGATGTTCAATATTATTTTCTCTCTCCACACCAGCTGGGTACGTTCACACCAAGGTCTAGCAGCCCCGGGCATTGTCAGCCCCATACCAAACCACCTTCAGCCTCACGATGGTGGCTGGAGTACATTACATACGGACATGGTTATAAACAAATAGGAAATATACCAAATTTATCGTGAGGAATTTGTTTTTAAACATTACTTTCCATCTAGAAAAGCTAAAGGCTCCAATCAGCATTTCACTCACAGCATCGATCTCATTGAGAATCTTCCACTGCTCGTACGTGACGCCCAGGGACTCGGCCGTCTGGATGGTCCTTTTCAGCTGGCTCGTCCACACCTTCAGATCCACAATTTCCTGCTCTTCGATGAACTTCTTCAGCGCCTGAGCGAACTGCAAAGAAGCCCAGGGAGGTCAGGAGGGAGCAGGAGCCGCTGCCGCCGTTAAAAGCGTCATTTCAAGGGCTGGGGATGGGGCGGGCGGGGGACGCCGCCCCCGCGCAGGAGGCGGATGCAGAGCCCGGCCCTGACCCTGGGCACACACCGCTTCACAAACACAGCGACCCCGGTGCTGCCAAACACATACCTGCTTCCCGCGCGGCGACAGACCAGAATCCCCACCAATCTTGCCAACAAGATTATATTCACTCTCACCATGTCGGCAAAGGTAGATGGTACGCGGCTGGACATGAATGTTCATTAGGTAATAGACGATTTTACTCTGGATGTAATCTTGGACTCTGTTTACTAGGAACCGCTGTCCCACATTGATCACTTTAATGAAGGAAAGATCTCTGGAGTCAACATAAAATAAGAACACCCACACGACTGGTTTTAAAAATGAAGCACGTGCATCTGCGGGTGTAATCTAGCTATTTGTCCCCTAGGAAAGGCATCTGCACTGCCGCTGGCTCACTCCAGCGGATAGAAGAGACCCTGAACTGCCGTGCTTAACCAAGGAGCTGCATCACACGGCAGCACACTAGAGAAAAATCCTTTCAAATCGCTCGGGACCCGAGCATATCGCCTTCACACGAGCAATCACGCTTTGGGGGAGCGGAGGCTGCAGCAGACGCGTTGCAGCATCCTGAGCCAGAGAACAGCAGCGACAAAGCCAAGCAAGCTCACGTGTGAGAGGACGAAACGCACCGCAGGGCTTTGCTTACTTGTCATACGCGTCGGGATCGAGAGGCTGGTAAGTGACCTTGTAGCACTCAATCCTCTTCAGGAAATCGTCCATCACGTTCTCCCGGTTTCTCTCCGGGTAGTCGGGGCTGGAAACTTTCACCTCCTGATCAACAGACAGCGACGCTTTGTGAGAGCTAAGCAAACTCGACACAGAGCAAAAGCAAGACTGAATAACATTATTCTTCCCTTTTCAAACAAGTGAGCATTGTTTAGCACTTGCCCTGTGGAAAAACCTGCTCCTAGAGGGGAAACAAAGGGCGACTGAGAGCACTGCAGTGCTTGGCCCTGTGACAGACACAGCTGGCCCTGGCTTGCCATAGCTGTTCCTGCAAGCCACTCGCTGCCTGCCTTCCCCCGACCAGAAAGCACACCTCAAGGTCAAACGCTTCTCAGCTTCATCTGATTTCTCACAGGACTGACTGTGTCTCTAGCTTTTATAAACCTGCAAACCTCAGCTGCTTGTTTCCAAGGTGAAAACTATGAGCAAGGCATTTGCAGACACTCTCATAAGCTACAGCAGCTGGTGACCTTGCACCAAGCACCCGAGCTCCCATGGTAAGCAGCAGCAGCTGAGCCTGGGAAATGCAGCACGCACCAGGATATTGGCAGCAATGACTTCTGGATCATCACAAACAGATTCCACGAAAAACACCTAGGAGGAAGGCAGGGAAGCGTGTTTCAGAGCCAAGATCTCTACCCTGAATCAAAACTTGAGAGCTTCTGCCCAAGGGAGAGGTAATACCCCTTGGTGCAGCAGCTCCAACTACAAATAAAATACATGAGCACTACCTTGAAAGCATTTTCTTTAGCAAAATTTAAGATCAGATCCCGTCTTTCTCGAGTTGTGTTGGTCGCATCAAACACCTACCAGAAAATGAATAAGGAGCAATGAGCAAGTTTCCCTAAGGCTTTTAAACCAGCCCCAAATCATTTGGGATTCTAGTCAGGTCCCCAAACGCCCTGGGCAGCTTTGAACTACCTGGACATAAAACCACGTTTAATCCAAGAAAAATCTTACAGCTATTTGCCCGCACTCCTCCAAGAGATAAGCCTTCACGTCTTCTAGAGCCACTAAGGCACAGTGCCTGCAGCAGAGAAAGGGGCACCATCAGCGCTGCCGCGAAGCCTTCACACAGCAAGGCTCCGGAACCGCCGGTCAGAGATTTATATGCCTTCTCTCTGCCCATGGAGCACCCACCCCAGCACCTTTCCAAGAGCCCTGGAGGCCCCGCAGAGATAAGGCAGCTGTATCTACAACTTCCTTCATATTTCATCACCGCGGGGCGTTTGCAGCCCCTGCCCTTTGGGCCAGCCTGCAGTCAATGAGACAGAAGTCCCTCATGCGGGAGGGAAGATCCCTGCCGGGGCTGCGTTCCCTCCTCCCCTGCTTTCCCAGGCATTAAATGCTATTTTGTGCTCCTCGAATGCAGAGCCTGCCAAGACCTGAGGCTGACCAGACCGCCGCAGACCGGCTGGGCCCCAACGACGTCGACTCACTTGCGGATCTCCATGGCTTCTTTGTTGTCGTGCCTGAAGAAGTCATAGGACTTGTACGACTTCACCGCTTCCCGGCGATACACTCCTAAATTAAACACTTTGGACACAAGAGACACGTGCGTGAGGCTGGCAGCATCCCGCAGGCAGACCCCGCGGCGCCGGGCAGAGCCCCCCCCCAGCACACCTTTGGTGGGCACCCCGATCCAGTTGAGGTAGCGGGTGAGCTTCTTGGAGACGTAGGTCTTGCCGCGGGCGGGCAGGCC